GTCTTTTGCAGACTCCATCAGGTTTTCTTCCAGAATGGTCCTGTATTTGGCTCCATCCATCTTCACCCCATCAATTTTAACCATCTTCCCTGTCCCTGCTGAAGAAAAGCAGGCCCAAACCATGATGCTGCCACCACCATGTTTGACAGTGGGGATGATGTGTTCAGGGTGATGAGCTGTGTTGCCTTTACGCCAAACATAATGTTTTGCATTGTTGCCAAAAAGTTCGATTTTGGTTTCATCTGACCAGAGCACCTTCTTCCACATGTTTGGTGTGTCTCCCAGGTGGCTTCTGGCAAACGTTAAACGAGACTTTTTATGGATATCTTTAAGAAATGGCTTTCTTCTTGCCACTCTTCCATAAAGGCCAGATTTGTGCAGTATACGACTGATTGTTGTCCTATGGACAGAGTCTCCCACCTCAGCTGTAGATCTCTGCAGTTCATCCAGAGTGATCATGGGCCTCTTGGCTGCATCTCTGATCAGTCTTCTCCTTGTATGAGCTGAAAGTTTAGAGGGACGGCCGGGTCGTCGTAGATTTGCAGTGGTCTGATACTCCTTCCATTTCAATATTATCGCTTGCACAGTGCTCCTTGGGATGTTTAAAGCTTGGGAAATCTTTTTGTATCCAAATCTGGCTTTAAACTTCTCCACAACAGTATCTCGGACCTGCCTGGTGTGTTCCTTGTTCTTCATGATGCTCTCTGCACTTTAAACGGACCTCTGAGACTATCACAGAGCAGGTGCATTTATACGGAGACTTGATTTCACACAGGTGGATTCTATTTATCATCATCAGTCATTTAGGTCAACATTGGATCATTCCGAGATCCTCACTGAACTTCTGGAGAGAGTTTGCTGCACTGAAAGTAAAGGGGCTGAATAATTTTGCACACCCAAATTTTCTGTTAAAAAAGTTTGAAATATCCAATAAATTTCGTTCCACTTCATGATTGTGTCCCACTTGTTGTTGGTTCTTCACAAAAAATTACAGTTTTATATCTTTATGTTTGAAGCCTGCAATGTGGCAAAAGGTCGAAAAGTTCAAGGGGGCCGAATACTTTCGCAAGGCACTGTATGTATCTGCTGCGCACAGACACACATGTTGACCGCACCGGCAGCTGCTGTGTCACTGAATGTCAAATAAAAACTGTAGTTCACAACTCAACCCTTGCAAAGTGACAGGCTTAGAAATGAGAGATACCAGACAATTTAACGTTCATTTACTTTCACAAGACTAAATGGTAAAATACGACCATTAACAGCCAATCCTTTATGTCTGCAAATATTTACTATATGTTGGGTGAACCTTGAATCCCTGGTCAACTACAGAAACGGCACATTTTCCAACTGACTAAACTAACACACCTCTGTTTTAGATAAATGAAGGCACTTCCTGATATGCAGACTGATTAGGAGCAAACTCAAAACACCCAGTCATCTCCGTAACTTCCCATATTTCTCTTAAGCAACTTGCTCTTTTTATGAAGTATTTCACACAACTTTCACAACTGTGACATTTCAACACTAGCAGTTTTTACAGACTTGGTTCTCTGACTTTTCCCATCTGGCTATACCTCTCAGAGATGGGGACGCGAATTTGAGACTTGTACTCAAGTCGTACTTAACCTGCTGAAAACAGACACCCTTTTCCAGGAAAAACACCTAAAATAACATACCCAAAATCAATCAGGAATAACTCCTCAACCATTAGGCCTAGATGCATAATTGTGGTCTCCTTTGAAAGGTCAGAAGCTTAGGAATATACATTAACTACATTAACATATTTATTTTACCCTTACTGGAAGACGTTTTGTCCCTCATCCAAAGGACTTCTTCAGTTCTGACTGACTGGCAGGGAAACTCAGCTATTTAACCTCAGTGGGGTCGTTATCCCGGGTCATCGATACCGCTGGTTCATTAGTGTTCCTGGTTGCTGTGACGACAGTCGTTACAGTCGTTAAGACTACCTGTGGCCAAGACTGAACGACCATCGTTGGTATCTTCACCTGAGGCCTCTGAGGTTAAATAGCGGAGTTTCCCTGCCAGTCAGTCAGAACTGAAGAAGTCCTTTGGATGAGGGACGAAATGTCTTCCAGTATCTTCAACCAAGTCCAGTTGCCCTTGATTTTAACCTTCGTTGGATAACTATGACCTGGATGACTGAGAATCTTCATAGACATTAAACTGGTCTGAAAGTCTGGGGGGGATGTGTTGACTTACAGTAGTTTATAAGCTGTGATTAGTTGTTGCAGTGCACATTATATGGTTGTGCTCTGTAAATGAAAAAGACAAGTTACAGAATTCCTTAAATATATGCAGTGTTATAAGCAGCCTGGATTGAACGTAGAAGGTGATACAACACTCATTATACCAATGAGAGACTTGTCTTGAACTCTAGCTCAAAGACTTGAGACTTGACTTGGAAATTAGCTCAGAGACTTATGAGCATCTCTGTCAAACACTGGCCATGTTTTCATATATACATTACTTTTTCTTGTAGGTTTGAAATCCATTTAGATAGCATAAGTGAACATTCAGAATTCTCTTTTGCTCCTATTAATCACATTTCAATGTTCAGCAACCCAAATCAACGTGCAGTCAAAATTCCTCAATTCTTTCTGCACTAGCTGACCGAGAAATTAATGTTGGCAAACACTCTACTGTGCAAATAGTGACAGAGCAGTCATCCTCCTCCATCCCAAACCCGGGGTAGAGAGGCTCAGTAAAGGAGCCATGGAACGTGTGAAGGTGACTGAGAGTCCCAGAGGAGACACTGTAGAAGGACAGGGAGCCACCAGGCCAGTCCAGATACACTCCAACCCTGTGGGAGCGAGACGGGGGTGCTGGTATTTCTACAGGCTGGTTGTCATGCTGAGCGCTGTAGTGATCCTCAGAGCAGAACAGACTCCAGGACTGATCTGTGTATCCAAACCCACAGAGGTGAGAGCCAGCCCTCCGACGGATCCCCCTCATCACCACAGCAACGTCCACCCAGCGTCCTCGCCACTCCACCTCCCAGTAGTGGCGTCGGGTGAGGCCTTCGCGACACAGCACCTGGGAGACACTCTCAAACCTGCCGGGGTGATCTGGGTACTGCTGTGTCTCCCTGACCCACGTCACCTGCTTTCCACTATCGTGCAGAAAGAGAGACTTGGCAACTGTGTTTGTGTCCAAAGTCAGCGTACATGCATCTGTACAAAATACAGATATGGCTATTTCAGCTTTTTTTTTCATAAATAAATTATATTAATAAACTATATTAACAAATTAGGGGTAAAAATGGCAAATGGCAAAAGTTATAAACACATTTTCTTGCAGTGAAATGCACCATGTAAGCACAATATAAACTAAAATAATTAAGCCCTCAGGGTCTCTGCAAAACAGGGCCTCAACAATATAGCTATAGTATAGTATAGCATTCAACTGCCACACATCTGTCCCAGAGCTTTCAGACCCAACTGACCTGTGCCTAATCTAACCAAAAAGACACAGACAGAATGAAAGAAAGTAACCAGATCAGGATCACAGAACCCGCACTCTCGGTTTTTAATATATCTCTATCCTGCCATCTGTTGGACAAATATAACACTACAACATGTGAAGTGAAAAGGCTGAAAGATGGCAGCATGCATATGAACACGTGTGTGAAACTAAACTCAGATGGCAGATGGAGGAAATTATTCAAAACAAAACTACTACTTTTTTTCTTTGTCAGTTCAACTTCAAACCTGATTATATGCTGAAAGAAAATGAGATATAGATCCATGCATTACTTACTCCCCCAAAAAGTCTGTTAGTTTTTTTTCCTCCCTCAAAACCAGATCTCAGTAAGACAAAATTCAAGTTTACTGAGCACCTAAATTTAGCTAAAATACCATTTCATTTTAAAGTAATTTTTGTATCATATAAACATATAACGACAGGATGTGTAATTGCACATCTAACTGGCACCTTCCACTATATTTCTTCATGGTTGATATATAATTTTTGACTGTTGTATCAGTTTTCATCAGTTACCATACCCGTCCATAAAGGAGGTTATAGTAAATGTATGTTCACTTTAACTTGCATATCTCACACCGACAACCACCGATTTCCAAGTTGATCCTTTCTGGCATCATCGCTAAAGATTCTGAAGAAATGCTGGGATTGTGCTGTGAAGTAGAGTTCAGCAGAAGACGCATAATAATAGTTATGTTGCTAAAGACTCACTGAAGAGATAGAGAACATTTACGTCATCAAAATACAGGTTTTTTTCCACCAACAATCAGATGTATAATGTTTCCCTCTCTTTCCATCTCTGTGGGTTCTCCTCATGGACTGAAGGAAGAACTGAAGTAGTGCATGTTGGCCTAAAGATGCGCTCAAACCTAAATAGTGACATCACAGTTAGTAAACTAACAAAAAATTGACAGAAGTTCTTCCAACTGGAGTTTCATGATCAATGATCTGTAATAAAAGACAGAAAAAACAGATGATTGTTCATCACTTGCAAACAAAGCATTATGATTAGACAGCTACAGTGAAGTCCATTTGGACACTGATACAAGTTTTGTTATTTTGGCTGTTTACTTAAACATCTTCAAGTTGCTGTTAAATAATGAATATGGGCTTAAAGTGCAGTCTCTCAGCTTAATTATATATCACATTGGGTTTAGGAAATAAAGCTCTTTAATATGTAGCCCCCTCTTTTTCAAGGGACCAAACATAATTAGAGAATTGACTCAAAAGCTGTTTCATGGACAGGTGTGTTATCAGTTAAGAAGGTAAAAGGTCTGGAGTTGATTCCAGATGGGCATTCACATTTGTTAAGTGCTGCTGTGAACTCACAACATCGGGTGAAAGGAGCTCTCAGTGCAAGCGAAACAGGCCATCCTTAGGCTGCAACAAATAAACATTGCATCAGAGAGATAGCAGGAACATTAGGAGTGGCCAAATCAACAGTTACATTCTGAGAAAAAAAGAACGCACTGGTGAGCACTCCAACACAAAAAGGCCTCGACGTCCACGGAAGACAACAGTGGTGCATGATCGTAGGATCTTTTCCATTGTAAAGAAAAAAACCTTCACAACATCCAGCCATGTGAAGAACACTCTTCAGGAGGTAGGCAAATCATTATTCAAGTCTATCATAAAGAGAATAATTCACTAGAGCAAATACAGAGTGTTCACCACAAGGTGCAATCCATTCATAAGCCTCATGAATAGACAGGACAGATTAGACTTAAACAGCATTCGTTGGACAGATGAAACTAAGATCTACCTGTGACAGAATGATGGGAAGAAAACGGTAAAGAGAAGGCTTGGAACGTCTCATGATCTGAAGCATTCAAAATCATCTGTAAAACACGGTTGGGGGAAGTGTGATGGCATGGGCATGCATGGCTTCCAGTAGCACTGGGTCATAGTGTTTGTTGATGATGTGACAGAAAACAGACCCAGACGGATGAATTCTGAAGCTTTTTGGAATTTAACATCTTCGTTTTTTATTTTCATGCTGTATGTTAATTAGTGGCTTTGGAGCGGGAGTCTGCTGTTTTTTTTTAAACAGCTATGCAAATCTGTTAGAAGAAGATGGTCACCACACTGGGGCATACTTCACATGTGTCACATGTGGGTGGTTAAGAAGATAAATCTACATCTGTCCACTGCTGATGCACTATCTACAGCATGGGCCCTGTTTCAGAAAGCAGGTTCAACAATCTCTGAGCTGAACCCTGACCTCTGAGTAGATTAAGTCTGAGATGGGAAACTCAGAATTTTCAGTTCCAGAACAGCTGATCAGAATGAGGCCTATTTCGATCAACTCTGAGTTTGTTTGAAACCTCATGGAAGTGTGTGATCATCAGTGGAGCTCCAATACTACTCTTCACTAGGGCAACGGGTAAATAAAGAGCAAAGCCTTTGGATACCTTGGTACTAGAAATATGAGTGCTGCCAATGCAGACAATCACATTTATCTTAAAAGACAGGAGTGGGGGAAGGAGTCAATAAGTTAACAATCTTAGTCCACATTTTATTCAGTACAGCCCTCTTATTCATTTACCAGACCTGAATTAATGATCAAGTGCAGAAAGCCTATTCACTGTATGTTACATTGGATTTTTAAATTCCTGGAACCTCACGGCACAAAATTTAGGTAGCAATAAGTAAAGATGAAAATATGGATCAAAACAGAGAAGACATAGTTTACTTATTGACCTAGGATTGTAAAGACATAGTCCGATCCCCATTATAATTATTTAGGTGATTTGTAGTTGAAAATGTGTCCAGGTTCAAACTGAGTGTAGCCTACATTTTTAGACATCTAGGCTAATTTAAATTAAAATTTGTGCTCATTTCGCATTTAATGAAATAGTGTCAAAACACATTAAGATTATAGCCTATGCAGGAAAACTCACTTTAAGTTGTTTCAGCTGCTCCACAATCATCGTCACTCAGAAATATTCACATCATCTTAAAGATGATAACTATGACAGTCCCATCATCAGTGGGACAGATCCCAGCATGACAAATTATTGTTTATTGATCAGTTACAGCTTCATACAGCTCAGTTTGATTTAAAACTGTGATTACTGCAGTAATGTAGCCCACTGTAAATGTTTCAGTGCTTGTAAATACTTGTTCTGGTGCATCTATTTTAGGGGCATATGCAAGTTAAATTGCCTAATAGCATGTGGAGCTCTGCACACATGTATTTCCTGAATGTTGAGCAAAGAGAACAAAATTGTCTACAAAAGGAAACTGCAGAATCCCACCAAGAGATCATCTCCATGTTGCCTCGAAATGAGTCTCTGCTCAGGTAAAACATGATTTATTTGAGTAGCCTATATTTAAAGTCTGGTTTTATAGACATCATAAAACTAAATGTTGCCACTAAATTTTCTAATATGTGTATAGTTTTGAGATAGACCTACTACTCCACAACAGGGAAATGTTGTACTTTGTAGAAGTATCAAAGTATTAGCATCAAAGGCTATAGCCTACTTAAAGTACCACAAGTAGCCTTCAGTTGTGCACAATGGCCCATTTCAGAAATATATATCATGGTATTGTGTTGATGCATGTATCACTTTAATGTTGCAGCTGGTAAAGTTGAGGCTGATTTGAACTACTTTTATCATTTAGGCTACCTATAATAATTCATCTTATTTATTTGTTGATTGTATTTTGTATAAATATGAACGTACGAGTTCTGGTTCTATCTGCTAAGATACAGAACAAATAAAATGTTTTAACATTTGTCAAAACGGACATGCTGTACATCGTTAGATCGGTTAGATTCTCCACAATTCAATCGTTCAGTTTATTTTACGGGAAACAAGCAACAATGTGTTTATTTACGATAGATATCGACTGCTGGCATGGTAAACAAGAGAGACGGAAGAAAGTGGTCCCTCCTTTTGAAGCATAAAGTCCGAATATGTGTCCATTCCTCGATAATGTATATTCCTTTAGTCCGTAAAGGTAAAACGATCAGAAGAATCAAAGGCGTTTTCATAAAAAACGAAACCTAGTTGCTCTCTCTCTCTCTCTCTCTCTCTCTGATGTAGCCTACGTAATTACAGCTAAAGTGAAAACTGACGTAATGATTAGGCCTACTACTGCAAACAAGGCCTAATGTTAAAAACGATATAGTATTATTTTCTTTGTGAGGTTCATAAATGGTGATAAAAGATCCAAAGTTTATATTCTGTGAACGTTTAGAGTAATCCAACTGTTGCATTTCCGGTGTTTTCCTCCTGGTTTCCAAACTTGCCTGACGCTGCGCGTGCCGTGTGCAGCAGCTGCGGACTGCCTCGTGAACATATTCCTGGCAGTTGTTTACGTAAATTTTATATACCTATAAAGAAACAAACAACCTTTCCTTTTTTCAGGGATACACGAAAAAATCTGGATTAAAGCACCAATTTCTGTTGAGAGTTTCAGTATTTAGGTCAGCACATTGTACAGTCCTTTGAGCTTTATAATTTCATGATTAGCCTATTTTATGGTCCAAAACATTAAGATCAATCTTAAAGAAAGGGAAGAACGGTTTAGAACCAGTACATCTGTGGATATGGTATTCAGCAAGTAAGAATAAAAGATTTTCTATGAAATATTTTCCTCTCTTATCCCTCCTGAAATCAAAAACACAAAAGAAAACATCCTTAAAACAAAAAGAAACACCAGAATGACATAAGCTTGAATAAACTCCATGTCTGACCAGAATCTCTCAGTATGAGAACAGTTTCTCAGTATGGGAAACATTTTCCTCTGAGTTTTAACAAAAAACACATTCAGTTTTACCAGGGCCGTCCTTCACATTGTTGGAGCCCTGGGTAAGATTTTATACTGCCCCCACAAAATGTTTCAAACAGAGACGGTTTTCTTTCATTCTAGTGAATTTATGGGGTAAATATTTTGTAGAAATGCACTGGAGCGGACAGGGAGGTCTGGGTGATCTCCCCCCTTTTCTGCATTAATTTATGGTGAAATGTCTTTGTTTACATAGGCTAAAGAGAAAAAAACAGGCAGCAGGTACAAATTCAAAACAAAACAAACAATAGAATATAATAGAGTAAGGCTCTCAGGCATTCTGGCTATTACTTTTAAATATGTATTCTCCTGTAGATCACTTGTTTTCACTCAATAAAATCCCTGCTGAGTGAACACAATCCCTGCTGAATCAGTTGTTTGGGGAAGTAACCTCTTAAATGTGCATGCGGCACCTTTCCACCTTAATTATAAATGAACTGATTGTCATTCAAACTCCTGGACTTAGATAGCTCCTGTGTTTCAGCAAGTTTTCTGCTCATGTTCAAAATGTTCTGCACATTCAGAATCTCTCCCTCATATCTCTCTGACTTTAACGATCTCCATAATAAGTTAATGGAGGAAAAAACTGAAAATTAAAATCTTTCTAATGAATGAAGAAATTAGACTGTGTAACAAATATACTAATATACAGATATACTGTGGGGAGCACTTGCAGGGGAACAGAAAAGCTGCTCATGCAGGCGGTGATTATGCTGCTCAGCTCTGCAACAGCGAGAACAGGGTGCGCTCACAGGGACAGGTACAGACAGACATATGTTCCGATGTGGTAGTGAATTGTTGAAACTGAGTTATCACATCACGCAGGTTCGTATGTATGTAAACACGAATGTGTTAAAACGGAGTTGTTAAAATTTTATGAAGTTGTAAGGAAGAACTGAATATCTAGCAGGATCTCTTGTGCTGTTTCAGCGTTATTAATGCTGTTTTTAATGCTGTAGGTCAGGGGTTGACAAATAGGCTAGTGGGTCTGGTTAGCTCAGTTAGTAATGCACAGGCCATTCAATCGAAGGCTTTTTTTTTTTTTTCCTCTTTAACAAATTAACTATTAGGAATGTTTCACATGCTCATGATAAAAACACGTGCTACAGCACCAACCAAGAGATAAGCTAACAAGTTTTTTACAGCGAGTGCTCACACCAATGTGTGCTAATTATTGCTAACAAATAAATAACATGCTAGAAATTCACGCACCGAAAAAACTGGAGCACTGGCTTCTTGGACAGTTACTACACAGCAAGACATATTATTCATCTGGTAATTGCATACAAAACTCTCCAAAAGGCACAAACATGGCAGAGATGTAATCAATTACCCTAAAATCAAAATACAAAAAGGACATCTCGATACCTGCATTCACAATTTGAAAGACAGCAAACATGAGCTAGGTCTATGTGTGTCAATCAGATGTAGCTCTCCTGATAACAGACAGAATTCAGCCATTAGCCATAATACACAATGTTTCCTCCCCTCTGTACTGGGGCCGCCTAGCATGCTAACGTTAGCCTTTAGGTTTGAGACCGAATTACTTAAAAATTCTCACACAGGGTGAGTGGGACATAACATACATAACCTATTAACTTTTATAAACTTTTATATGGGTGGAGCACAGTTCAACAGCAGCTTACCTCTGGTCATAACAGGGACAGCTCTGACCAGAGCGTCTGCACTCTCACCCATGTCACCATGGCAACCACATAATCACGGCGACCATGCCCACACATGCACCCAGTAAAACACTTCAGGCAATTGATTAAAGTCCCAAGCATAAGGTTTTAACAATAAATTTAAAAAAATTGGGGGGGTGAAATTCACAAGTAGCCTGTATAGTAGCATGTTTCTCATCTCTTAATTATAATACTTATTGTACTATGTTTTTAAGAAAAATTAAATAAATACTGCTTCAAGCAATCTATGATTGGCCCCAAAAGTCCTGTTTGGAGCTGCTCCTGATGTTCCCTGTAAACTAAAGCTGAAAAAATTGAGATTGTTCATTTGTTTGTTTTTTCCCGGCACATATTTCTTTTACATCATCTGCATTTGCAGTCTTGGCAGAAAAACATTTGAATAATTGTGCAAAACTGTAATTAACAGGACACTAGTGAAAACAGATTGTTTGTGCAACTTGTTGTAAGGGAACCACAATCTGCAAGTGTGGTGTCAGAAATGTAGTTCCAAAACACATCATTGTCCAAATGTAGTTAAATAGTGTACATCATAGCATCACCTGGGAATGAATCATCATGTTGAACTGGAAGGCTGCTGTCTTTGGTTGTAGACTTAGTTGTTGGTTGATCCATCAATGTCCTGGGTAACTGTTTAGTTTAGTCCTAATGATTGAAAGCCAGACATTTGCCATTTGAGTTCAAGTTTATGCAAGTAATACTTTTTATCATAACAAGATGTCCCCCTTTTTAAAAAAATCCAGGAGCAGATGAAGTGATCATAGTGCAATTTGGCGGCCAGAGATGAAGACTGAACACTGATCATGAAGGTCAGAGCTTGCATAAGAAAGGTGGTCAGCATGCGCCTCACAAAGTACAGAATCATCGTCATCTTCTTCATCGTCCTCTCTCAGGCTGTGTTTGGCTTCATCTTTGTGCTACGCAAGATGGATTTCCTGGAGGTGAGAACTTGGTTTTAGTGGGATCATTTGAAGCATAAATGTCAGATTTCAGGATTTTGTTAGAGTGCAATGTGGCTCAGAGTAACAGCAATGTACTTCATTGCAACTTGAGTTAACATAGTTTCACCTTGTAAATCTTGCACTGCTTTGCTGACAGCAGCAGCTTCGCTAATTAAAGGACATGGAAGGCATTATTCTGTTCTTTCCATCTAATGACAATACCAAAACCATCAATGTGTTCCAACCTACTGGTTCCCATTCGTTCCTACTGAAGACATAAATCTTTAGAAATGGGTCACAGATATATACAGTATGTTTTAAAATTGACAACTGATGCTCGTAAAACAGGTAGGCACTGTAATTTTAAGCAAAAATTAATCAAATAAAGAATAAAGAGTATTTGTTGGAGACTGTTTTCCGTCTAACCCTAATTCACCACAAAAATGAATAACTCCACCTGCAGCTTAGACCCCATCCCATCATCCCTCATCACGACCTGCCTTCCATCCATCACCCTCTTCACCCTACTCATCATGAAAATCATTAATTCCTCCCTCACATCCGGATCAGTCCCCACAACACTCAGTTGCAGCTGTCACGCCCATCCTCAAGAAACCTGGTCTCAACCATTATGTCCAATTTCCGACCTATCTCCAATCTCCCCTTCCTATCAAAAATCCTAGAACGTGTTGTTGCTGCTCAAATTCAAACCCACCTCACCACTAACAACCAGTTCGAACCATTTCTATCTGGATTCCGCTCACAACATAGCACTGAAACAGCCCTCATCAAAAGAACCAATGACCTCCTCCTCTCCTCCTCTCCGCCAACTCTGGTCACCTCACCATCCTAATCATGCTCGACCTCACTGCAGCACTGGCACCGCACTCTCCTGGCTCTGCTCTTGCCTCACCAACAGACAACAGTTCATCAACATCAATAACTGCACCTCCTCCACTGCTCCTTTGTCATAAGGCGTCCCCCAAGGTTCGGTGCTTGGTCCTCTCTTGTTCATCATTTATATCCTGCCACTCCATATTATCATATGTAGATATGGCCTCCACTTCCACTGCTACGCCGATGACATCCAGATCTACATCTCCACCAAATCCATCACTACATACACCTCTGCAACTCTGACCAACTGCCTCACCGACAAACCTGGATGCAAACCAACTTTTTCTTCAATAAATCTGACATGTTCATCACTGGCCCCAAATCACTCACAAAAACACCAACAACTTCAGCCTTTCCATCAACAACTTCACCTTGTCTCCATCCCCACACATCTGCAACCTTGGAGTCATCTTTGACTGCAACCCCACTTTTGAACACACTTTTGAATCAACCATGTCACCAGGACATCCTTCTTTCACCTCAACCACTCACCTTCTCTGCTGCTGAAACCCTGATCCACACCTTCATTACATCCAGAACTGACTACTGTAATAGCATCCTCTATGGTTCACCTGCCAAAGCCCTAAATAAACTTCAATATATCCAAAACTCTGCTGCCCACCTCCTCACCCACACACGCAACCCTGACCACATCACCTCTGTCCTCCAGAATCTTCACTGGCTCCCTGTTCCCCAACGCATTCAGTACAAAATCCTCCTCCTCACACATAAAGCCCTCCATAACAAGGCCCCTTCCTACCTCACAGACCTGCTCCACCGCCACAATCTCTCCCGTAACCTCTGCTCCCCTGAAATTAACCTCCTCTCCCCACAAATCAGGACTGAGCACCGTACCTAGGGCGACAGAGCTTTCACCATCGCAGGCCCTTTGGAACTACTTACCCAGACACGTCCGAGATTGCAGTGACATGTACTCTTTCAAATCACTTATCAAAGCTCACCTTTTTAGACTAGATTTTTTACTTCAAATAATGTTGTATTGCACCTGCTGCTGTTTGTTATTTGTTATTTATATGGTCGCCCCTACACTCTTATGTATTTCTGGACCACATGTTTTTACCTAATGTTCATATATTTTGCTATATATGTTTTGTTATTTGTTATGTTTTTAAAATGTATTATTATGATTAATATTATTATTATAGGAAAACTGCCTTCAACCCCAGACTCAAGGTTAATGAAGCACTCCAAAAAGTCTACTTTTTTTATGTAGGATGTAGTCCCCTTGATTAATGTTATCCTTCAATTTTAATCAAAAAATTTAAAGTAAAGGAATATGGTGAAATTTAGACATTTACTATCTTGACTGGGCCATATTGTAGCTGTTCAGGTCTCTATTTATTCAAATATGATAAAATAAGTAAGCAATAATAATAGTGGTAATGGGGTGCATAAGTAACAATCAGTGGTGTACGCATGAGCGCAATTCCTAATATGGGGTACATGTTTTCATTGTAAAAGTAAGGCACAACACAAACACAGCACAACATAAAGACAACATACGACAATAAAGTGAGAGTCCCAGAGGGAACCTTGGCACCCAAAGACCAATTCTAGCCCTTCTCTATGTATCTATATGCAACTCTGTATAACCATAAACAAAGCAAAACACAGACCCTCTCATTCCTCCCTCCACTCCCAGCAACTGGGTCCTTAAAGATGATTTTGTTACGGGGTGTGGTGTGTGGACAGAGAGGACCCAAATGCTGCACTCAGAGGGAAGGAGGTTTATTGGGGGAAAAAAGGGTGAGAGGGACTGGAGTGGAGGGAGAGGAGGACGTCGGGGAAGTACTGGCACGGGGAACCAAGGAGACAGGGGGCCAGGGAGCCGGGGAACACGGGCCGAGGAAGCGAGGAGAGGCAGGGGAACAGGGAGGACGCCGAGAGGGAGGTCCGAAGGGGAGTGGGCCAGTGGATGAGCCCAGCCGAGCGGAGGACGAGGGTGAGTGTACCTGGGAGGGAAACAAACAGAGAGACAAGGTTAGGGGGAGACAATGACAAGGCACAGGGTAAGTTTGAAAAAACAAGAAACAAGGAAGCCTGAACACAGGAGTGGCACCAGGTATGGAGCAACGACGATCAAGCAAGGATGGTGTGGAGAACCGGGGTTGAAATACAGGCTGGGATGAGGTTGATTACTGGCAGGTGTGGCAGGCTGACGAGGTGGATGATGGGTTGCAGGTGCAGGTAGTTGGCTGGGCTCAGGAGCAGAGGAGAGAGAGCACACGGGGGAGAAAACACAGAGAGGCGGGCAGAGAACAGGAAACCGAGGGAAAAAGCAGAAAAACTGATAAAAAGTAGAAAAAACCAGGACACTCACCGTCAGCCGGGCTGCCACCACAACAGGGCCCCCTCCTCAATGGACGCCTCCCGGCGGCCTTCCTATAGGACAGGGGGTTTGGCAGGTGAACACGGGGGGGAAGATGTACTGGGGTCCGGCTGACGGGGGTCCAGGGTCCAAAACCAAACTGGGAGTTCAGGGAGGGCTTCAGGACAGGGAAGAGTTAGGGGAACAGGCAGGGCAGAACTGAAAACTCAGGGCTAGACAGGGTGCCAGAGGGTAGCGCTGGGGGACCAGGGGGTTCAGACAGGGTGCCAGAGGGCGGAGCTGGGGAACCAGGGGGTTCGGGCGGACGTCCCGAGGGCGGAACAGAGGGACCAAGGGGTTCGGGCGGACGTCCCGAGGGCGGAACAGAGGGACCAAGGGGTTCGGGCGGACGTCCCGAGGGCGGAACAGAGGGACCAAGGGGTTCGGGCGGAACAGGGGGACCAAGGGGTTCGGGCGGAACGTCCCGAGGGCGAAACAGAGGGACCAAGGGGTTCAGGGGGGTCAGGTTGGTCCGACGGGCAGCCCGAGGGCGGACAGGGGGAGCCAGGAAGTTCAGGGGAGCAGGGTTGGTCCGACAGGCAGCCCGAGGGCGGACAGGGGGAGCCAGGAAGTTCAGGGGAGCAGGGTTGGTCCGACGGGCAGCCCGAGGGCGGACAGGGGGAGCCAGGAAGTTCAGGGGGGCAAGTCGAATGCAGAGCAGGAGAGCCAGGAGGGTCCGGCGGGACAGGGGAGCCCGAGGGCAGACCAGGGGAGCCAGGAGGGTCCGGCGGGACAGGGAGCCCGAGGGCAGACCAGGGGAGCCAGGAGGGTCCGGCGGGCGGCCCGAGGGCGGACCAGGGGAGCCAGAGGGCGGACCAGGGAAGCCAGGGGGTCCGGCGGGCGGCCCGAGGGCGGGCCAGGGGGGCCCGGCGGGCGGCCCGAGGGCGGACCAGGGGAGCCAGAGGGCGGACCAGGGAAGCCAGGGGGGTCCGGCGGGCGGCCCGAGGGCGGACCAGGGGAGCCCGGCGGGCGGCCCGAGGGCGGACCAGGGGAGCCCGGCGGGCGGCCCGAGGGCGGACCAGGGGAGCCCGGCGGGCGGCCCGAGGGCGGACCAGGGGAGCCCGGCGGGCGGCCAGAGGGCGGACCAGGGGAGCCAGGAGGGTCCGGCGGGCGGCCCGAGGGCGGACCAGGGGAGCCCGGCGGGCGGCCAGAGGGCGGACCAGGGGAGCCAGGAGGGTCCGGCGGGCGGCCCGAGGGCGGACCAGGGAAGCCAGGAGGGTCCGGCGGGCGGCCCGAGGGCGGACCAGGGGCCAGGAGGGTCCGGCGGGCGGCCCGAGGGCGGACCAGGGAGCCAGGAGGGTCCGGCGGGCGGCCCGAGGGCGGACCAGGGGAGCCAGGAGGGTCCGGCGGGCGGCCCGAGGGCGGACCAGGGGAGCCCGGCGGGCGGCCCGAGGGCGGACCAGGGGATCCGGGAGGGTCCGGCGGACCAGGGGTGCCCGGCGGGCGGCCCGAGGGCTGGGCTAGGGGGCGAGACGACCTCTCCAGAGGCCGGGGAGCAAGGCGAGACAAGCCAGAGAGTTTGGGCGGGCGGCCCGAGGGACGGGCTAGGGGGCGAGATGACCTCTCCAGAGGCCGGGGAGCTGGGCGTGGCGACCTCTCCAGAGGCCGGGGAGCCGGGCAGGGAGCCGGACGTGGCGACTTCACCAGAGGCCGGGGAGCCGGGCAGGGAGCCGGACGTGGCGACCTCACCAGAGGCCGGGGAGCCGGGCGTGGCGACCTCACCAGAGGCCGGGGAGCCGGGCGTGGCGGCCGGGGAGCCGGGCGTGGTGGCCTCTCCAGAGGCCGGGGAGCAAGGCGAGACAGGCCAGCGAGTTCGGGCGGGCGGCCCAAAGGACGGGCTAGGGGTCGAGACCACCTCTTCTGAGGCCGGGGAGCCGGGCGTGGGGCTGGCAGTGCGACAGCAGCGGGGGGAGTCAGGGATAAGGCAGCTGGGCTGAGGGCCTCGGAGCAAGGAACAGGGGTCAGCCGGACCACCGGCGGGGTTGAAGCCGGTCCGTCCGCCAACAGAACACGAGGAGCAGGGGTCGGCCGGACCACCGGCGGGGCTGAAGCCGGTCCGTCCGCCAAAAGAACACGAGGAGCAGGGGTCGGCCGGACCACCGGCGGGGCTGAAGCCGGTCCGTCCGCCAACAGAACACGAGGAGCAGGGGTCGGCCGGACCACCGGCGGGGCTGAAGCCGGTCCGTCCGCCAACAGAACACGAGGAGCAGGGGTCGGCCGGACCACCGGCGGGGCTGAAGCCGGTCCGTCCGCCAACAGAACACGAGGAGCAGGGGTCGGCCGGACCACCGGCGGGGCTGAAGCCGGTCCGTCCGCCAACAGAACACGAGGAGCAGGGGTCGGCCGGACCACCGGCGGGGCTGAAGCCGGTCCGTCCGCCAACAGAACACGAGGAGCAGGGGTCGGCCGGACCACCGGCGGGGCTGAAGCCGGTCCGTCCGCCAACAGAACACGAGGAGCAGGGGTCGGCCGGACCACCGGCGGGGCTGAAGCCGGTCCGTCCGCCAACAGAACACGAGGAGCAGGGGTCGGCCGGACCACCGGCGGGGCTGAAGCCGGTCCGTCCGCCAGCAGAACACGAGGAGCAGGGGTCGGCCGGACCACCGGCGGGGCTGAAGCCGGTCCGTCCGCCAGCAGAACACGAGGAGCAGGGGTCGGCCGGACCACCGGCGGGGCTGAAGCCGGTCCGTCCGCCAACAGAACACGAGGAGCAGGGGTCGGCCGGACCACCGGCGGGGCTGAAGCCGGTCCGTCCGCCAACAGAACACGAGGAGCAGGGGTCGGCCGGACCACCGGCGGGGCTGAAGCCGGTCCGTCCGCCAAGTCCGCGCTAGTGAGCTGGGGATCAGGAGGGACTGACTGGAGGCTAGCGGCGCCCGCCGCTAGAGGGACAGGCAGGGGACCAGCGGGCCGCATGCTAAGCCCAGCAAGAAGAGCACCGGGGGAATTCAGGGCCGATCGCAGGGCTTCCTTGAGGCGACCCACCTCCCAAAGCAGCTCAGCCATGCCTGGAGTACGCAGTAGGCGCGGTTGTTGACCCAGAGCCCTCTCGAAGCCGACTAGCGCGTCCAGCCTCTTGTGCCAATCCTCCACCCTTAAGTCCCCAAGAAGACTGTCCGCGAGGGTCCTCACCTGGCAGAGATCCTCTGTGGAGGGGCTAACGGCCGCCAGGCCCACCTCCGGTCCGGTCCAGCAGTCTCCGAGCTCAGGCCGAGGTAACGGACCAGATGCAGACACCGGCAGGGGCGCGCTTAGGGGCTCCTTGGCGGGGGGAAGGGCCAGGGCGTGGAGGAAGCTGGCATCCCATGGTGGGACGAAATCCCTCAGGCGAGGCTCAGCCCACAGCAGCTGTTGAGCCCTGGCGCGGAAAGCCTTCTTCAGGCCGTCATTTATGGCTCCCTTCCACAGCTCTTTGAGCTTGAGGAAGTCCCGGAGCCAGGACTCAAATTCCAAGGAGTCGGTGGAGAGGGGGGAGGGTGAGTGAGCTGGGTCCATGCGTGGCTTGATCGTTCTGTTACGGGGTGTGGTGTGTGGACAGAGAGGACCCAAATGCTGCACTCAGAGGGAAGGAGGTTTATTGGGGGAAAAAAGGGTGAGAGGGACTGGAGTGGAGGGAGAGGAGGACGTCGGGGAAGTACTGGCACGGGGAACCAAGGAGACAGGGGGCCAGGGAGCCGGGGAACACGGGCCGAGGAAGCGAGGAGAGGCAGGGGAACAGGGAGGACGCCGAGAGGGAGGTCCGAAGGGGAGTGGGCCAGTGGATGAGCCCAGCCGAGCGGAGGACGAGGGTGAGTGTACCTGGGAGGGAAACAAACAGAGAGACAAGGTTAGGGGGAGACAATGACAAGGCACAGGGTAAGTTTGAAAAAACAAGAAACAAGGAAGCCTGAACACAGGAGTGGCACCAGGTATGGAGCAACGACGATCAAGCAAGGATGGTGTGGAGAACCGGGGTTGAAATACAGGCTGGGATGAGGTTGATTACTGGCAGGTGTGGCAGGCTGACGAGGTGGATGATGGGTTGCAGGTGCAGGTAGTTGGCTGGGCTCAGGAGCAGAGGGAGAGAGAGCACACGGGGGAGAAAACACAGAGAGGCGGGCAGAGAACAGGAAACCGAGGGAAAAAGCAGAAAAACTGATAAAAAGTAGAAAAAACCAGGACACTCACCGTCAGCCGGGCTGCCACCACAACAGATTTAAAGGTTCAGTGTGTAATATTTAGGAGAATCTATTGACAGAAATGCAATGCAATATCCATCCAACTATGTTTTCAGTGGTGTATAAAGACCTTACAAAATGAAGGGATAGGTTTTTATTACTTAAGAATGAGCCATTTCTAGCTACATATATCAGGGGTCCACTGTCGCCCAGTTGCGCCACCATGTTTCTACAGTAGCCGAAAATGGACTCTTCAGAGAGCGTTTCTCACTACGTAGAATTAGGGATGATCAGTGATTGGTTTTTAATGCGATGATTTTCAGATCAGAACTAAGTTGACACAAAAACTGTCTCTAGAATCTGCACCACACTGCACTGTTTCCCATTCACTGATTTATTTGAGTAAAACCATAATTCACTGTGGAGTTGCGCACAGCGCATTGATTTGCTCAGCGCCTCTGCTTGTTCGCTTGCTTGCCATGGTTACATGGTAATTCTGTGGGAAACACTGTACTGAGCATTTAAAGATGTTTTGGTGGATTCTCTTAAAGGTAATAAGCCTATTTCTTCCATGCTGGCATTTCACTAATATGCTGCAACGTAACACTGTCCCCTGGCGATCAGATTGCCAATCGGTGATCTCAAGTAGCCATGATCAGACGATATGAAAATAGAGAAGATCGCCCAAGCCTACGTTGAATGTGTACGTACAAACAAGAAAAAGAAGAAGAAGTAACAAATGGAGGACCACAGATATTATTTAGCACAGGAGCCAACTCCTGCACGCTTGGAAAGGGAGAGGTGAGCGGAGCATTCATGTGGTGTCGGAATAATCAGAATCTTTTTTTCATCCCTGAATCTTTATTGCAAAAAGAGGAATAAAGTGTACAAGGGACAAAAAGAAGTATACAGAACGTTGATTTGTGCACAATCACATATTGCATATACATATTTTGCAAACATGTAATTTTTAATATGGTGATAACGGTTAGTTTGCTGTCCACGTAGAGTGAATTGGATGTCTTGATGTTGTGTTAGTACACTTGTTTGATGCATCTTCATCACCTTCTCTCTCGACCAGCATAAAGTGAAACCCACCATCCCAGCCCCAGACCGTGACATCAATCAAGTCTTCTGCACTTTCCAATCACTGTCCAAGGAAGAATCTGTGGAGGAACGCCTCCTACTAGACTCCATTGCTTGGCCTGAAACTCCACTTCTACTAGATCCTCTTTCCCTGGAGCAGACCAGTGATTCTGCACACAGCAAATTCATCATTCTCCCAGGGAGAGGAGGAGGACGTTGGCATGTAGGGGATCAGCTGGAGATTATGATTAAAATGTATGACTTCCAGGGCCGTCCCAAGAAGTCTGGGGGAGACGTCGTACTCACCCGGCTGCACAACCTGAAGCTTGGTGCAGGTGTGGCTGGACAAGTGGTGGATCATCTCAATGGCTCCTACTCTGCTGTGTTCTCTTTACTCTGGGAAGGAAGCGCACAGGTTGAGGTGAGGCCGCTAATGTTAGCCTGAACGGGATATACCAAATATAAACCTGTAAAAAAAAAAAGTTTGAAAGTTTCACATTCCTGCTGTGCCTAGTTACAGTTGATAAGCTGTGATTCAAAGATCTCTGTTCGAGGTGTTTAGTTGAGTGAATGGTCAGTTCACCAGAGATTGTAGACTAAAGCTCAAACTTGTGCACGCCTAATACATAGTGTGCAGCAGTATTCATTTGATTTGCCTTTTTTGATATGACTGGACTTAGTGAAAATTCTGGTTCTCTGTCCCATCAGGTGACGCTGGTTCACCCTAGTGAGGCTGTCACAGTGCTGCGCAGGCTGACCAGTGAACAGCCAGACAGGGTTTATTTCCACAGCCTCTTCCGTTCTGGCTCTCTTTCTGAAACTACTACCTGTAACGTCTGCCTACGTCCAACCCAGCAGCCGCTGTGCAATTACACTGACCTCCGTACAGGCGAGCCTTGGTTCTGCTATAAGCCAAAGAATCTCAACTGTGATGCCAGGATCAGCCACTCCATGGGAGGATTCAATCAAAACCTCAAAGCCGAGGAAGAGAAGCTCTTTCAAAGGTGAGGAAGCAGAGACACAGGACTGGCATTGTGTGTGACTTGTAATAAATATGTATGTCGTTTGTGGGAAATTTAGCAAGTTTGTAACTAGAGATTGAATCTAATCTAATCAGTCTAATATAATTCAAATCAAAATAATAATTTTCATAGTTTTTTTTTCCATGTAGGGGCAGTGCACAATAAAAGTAACGTTGACATATTATTACCTTATAACTGATAGAAAGCAGTGGCCTATTTGCACATCCAGTAAGCATGCAGCAACATTAGCATGCGTTATGAGTGCTTCTGGCCACCTGGCAAATGTAAATACAAAATTCACTCTCCTTTCAGCTCTAGTTTGGTCTCCACCAGCTCATGAGTGAAATATCTAAATTTCTATCTGCTAATAATCCGGTATGTTCACCAGCTAGTTGCTGACTTTGTCTGTCTGCTATTTAGTGGTAGGTAGTGCACAATTGGTTAGTCATAGCGCTTTTTGATGCGTCTAATAAAATATGTTGAGGAGAGGGGTGAGAATCAACCAAAACAGCAAATTGCAGGCCATAACACCAAAAGCAGTTAGCTGGAAGACACTACAATACTCTGCAGACCGGAGGGGAACTGCAAAGCTGGGTTATAATCTGCATTGATGTGCTCCTAGGATGGTTTCCTGAGTTGGGAACTCTTTTTTTCTGACTTCAGTGTGTCCATGAGCAACATGTACGTTTGGAAAAAAAACATGTACGTTTTTGTATAGTGTCTGGGAGACGGGTTGTTATGTATGCGATATTGCTATCCAAGTATGCTGAAACAGTTTGAAGCTTATTCCATCCCAGATTTGTTGCTTCATCAGTAGACCCTCAAATCTCTAAAATATTGCGTTACCTGACTTGTTATGAGGGTTAATGCTAATAAATAACTAAAGTCACTCTACGTGGACAGCAACTAACGGTTACAACCATATGACATGTGAGCAAAAACTGTATTTGCAATAGGTGTATAATAAAAAGCTTTTACTTTCTTTATGACTTTTCTCCAGTGGTGTCAACATGAAGGTCTCTATTCAGGCTTCAGGACCTGCCAATGTCACAGTGTTGCCGAAAAAGAAAGGTAAAGCATAATTTTACTGCAGACATCAAAGGACCTGCACATCCTCAAGAAAAAGAGCCACCTCTGCCCCTTCCTGTATAGGGCATCCATATTCAGGGACCAGTCTAGCTTATCATCCAGGTGTACATCTAAAAATGTATAGGTCTGCACCGCCTCAATGTCTGCCCTTCGAATGTTAACCGGCTGCAGGGGGGTTTAGACCTACATAAGTCCACCACCATCTCCTTGGTTTTGGAGGTGTTCCTCAGGAGGCCGTTTTTATCACCCTAGTCACAGAAGGTCTTTGTCATGTCCTTGTACTCCCCTTCCTGTCCGTTTCTAATACGAACACAATAGCAGTGTCATCCGAGTATTTCTGGATGTGGCAGGGCTTGAAGTTGTATTTGAAGTCTGTGCTGTGTACAATGTGAACAGGAAAGGAGCTAGAACAGTCTCCTGTGGAGCCCCCTGCTGCACACCGCCATCCCACAGACACAGCTCCCCAGTCTGACAAATTGTGGTCATCTGTAATCTGTAAGGTAATCCAGGCAGTGAAGGAGGGATTCACCCTCACCCCCTCCAGTTTGTCCTTAAGCATGAAGGGATGGATGGTGTTAAATGCACTAAAAACTCAAAAAGAACATTATCCTCACACATCCTCCCAGTTTATCCAGGTGAGAATAGGCCCGGTGGAGCATGTAGAGGACAGCATCATCCACTTCAGTGTGTTCCTTGCGTGCAAACTGTATGGGGTCTAGTGCATGTTTGACATGTGGTCTCAGTCAACAAAGAAATAGCCTCTGTAGGGTCTTCATGATGTGTGATCTGAGGGCCACTGGTTTGTAGACGTTAATCTTGTCCGGACGCCCTACGTTGGGTAATGGAACAAGCCATGATGTTTCCCACAGCAACAGGACCCTCCCCAGTTGTATACTCAGATTGAAGATTCTCTGAAGAGGCTCGTTCAGTTGAGTGGCACAGTCCTTAAGCAGTCTTGGACATACGCTGTCTGGGCCTGTTACTTTTCCAGGATGCAGCCTCCCCAGCTCCATCGTCACCTCCTCCAAAGTGAAGGACAGGGGAGGGGCCCAGGTGTAGGTGAGGTTGCAGCTGCTGTGTTTATGGTGCCAAAGTGTGGTAGCAGGAGAGTAGTGAGTATTGCTGTTGGGAGCTGGTATGCTGGCTCTTGACTGCTTCGTCCACTCTGCATGCTAGCTTCACAGTATCAACTGTAACAACAGCATGCTAATGCACAACTTAGCTAGCGTTGCATTACTTGCTGTGTTGTTGTTTGCTTTATATCATAGCACACCTTTAAAACAGGTGCTCTCGTGTTCTTGTCGTTTTTTTCCAATTCTGCCTCCAAGTAAGCTCCACCCACAAAAAAACCCCATTATGTTTACTAACAGAAAAGGGGTCTATACATGTGCACTAAATGTGTATTAATCCACTGCTGAAAATAGTCCAACAAATGCACTCTACCTAGCAGGAAATTACAGTGTATTTGTGACACATATCATGCTTAACGTTAGTTCACGAAGGCAACAAAGTCAAGCTCAGCTCACAATCCCAGTACATCAGCTGATAGCAGCCATCTTAAGCCAGACACATCAGCTGACAGCTCAGCTGATTTCTCTCTTAGTATTCATTGTCAAATTACATACAAGGCGCCTATTTAAGCTGCTGTTGCCTGCCTGCCCTTGTTGCTTACACTGCAAACAGCTCATAACCCACCGCCACCCCAGCTCTGCCTTTCAGGCTGTGGTAGGGATGCACGATAATTGTAGATCCAATAAGTATTGGCCGATTGGGCATATTTCATTATTGGAATCATATCGGGAAATAAATTTAGGCCAAGAATTTTGGTGATAAGAATCAAACAACGCTATCATGTGCAGCACAGATGCAGGCACGAAAGCGTGTTGAAGGTCATGGAAATCCCAGAACAGAGCCATACTGCCAAACATTACAACAATGCCTTTGATGAAAGTTGTCCTGACTGAATTATAAAACTTCACGTCTTCAGTTGTAATGAAATAACTTAATTGTCATAAACAGGTTAGGGAGACCTTGGTTCTTATCTTTTCATGGGATATGTTGAAAATAAGACAAATATAAAATAACCCCATCATTAAACTTAACTTCCTCTCAGGTAAACCGGAGGTGAAGAGCAGCAGTGTGAAGTCTGGACCCTCTGGCTATTACTACCAGGGTGCGTGGCGAGCACTAGGTGGAATCATGGTCAACCAATTCAACACCTCGTCTGCTATCAGTCAGTGTCTGAAAGGCAAGAAGGTCCACCTGTATGGAGACTCCACCATCAGACAGTGGTTTGAACACCTCAACGCAGCACTGCCAGGTAAGTGATCCACAGGGATTTCTGTCAACAGTTTGATTTTGTTCACACTGCAGCTTCATCTGTTCCCTCTGTGATACTTTTAGATCTTAAGGAGTTTAACCTGCACAGTCCAAAGCAAGTTGGACCTTTCATGGCCTTGGACTATGCAAACAACATCTTGGTGACGTATCGCTGCCACGGTCCTCCTCTCCGTTTTGGCAACGTCCCAACCACTGAGCTGCGTTACATTGCCAATGAACTAGATGGGTTAACTGGAGGCAGCAACACTGTTGTAGTTATTGGCATCTGGTCTCACTTCAGCACTTTCCCCATGGAGCTCTACATACAGCGGCTGCAGAGCATCCGCAGGGCGGTGGTGCGGCTGTTGGTCAGGGCTCCAGACACACTGGTCGTCATCCGGACCGCGAACCTCAAAGCTTTGACACTTTATGAGACGCTGACCAACAGCGACTGGTACTCACTGCAGCGTGACAAGGTGCTCAGAGCCGTGTTCAAAGGACTGAATGTTCGTCTGGTGGACGCCTGGGAGATGAGTCTGGCCCACCACCTGCCACACAGCCTCCACCCACAGCCTCCCATTATTAAGAATATGATTGATGTTCTCTTGTCCTACATATGTCCTCAAAAGGGCGGTTAGATTGTGTGTGTTAGGGGAGCGGAATGGGGATGCAAATATATAGTCTGAGTTTACACATTTTTCCATCAGTATTCCATGCACAGCTAAGTGCACTTTTTCTAACTTATTTACATCCAAGGAATTTTGAGTGAGCACAAAAGAAACATAACAGGATAGTAATCAGCTACAAGCCAGGTTGGGATCAGGTATTTCAAATAGCTACTACAAATTACAATAGGCTGGGACACGCATCCCTAAAATGTTTACATCTAAAGATAACCTGTGCTCTGCTACCGTGTATAATGTGGTGACTGTAGTTCACCATAGTTTCTTAAAGTGCAATTAGTGATAGCGTTGTGATTATTCTAAACAAATATGTACAAATATACTTTTAGCTTCATGGGAATGTACATTTCTAGATGTAACAACTCACCATTTCATCTTGTCACCCCCCCCCCCCTTTACAGTCTTTACGCTAAGCTAACTGGCTGCTGGATGCAGAGTGGTATCGATCTTCCAATCATTCTCTTGGCAAGAGTGAATAACCCTATCTCCCAAATATCTCATGTGTGTGTCTGTGTGTCAGACTCAGTGACCATACCTTGCAATTGAAAAAGGGAGGCATAAAAGTCTGGGTTACCTAAAGAATATAGAGTATGTGAGCACTGCACGTATATTGCGTGTGTGTATATATGTGTGTGTATATGTGTAATATATACATATGATATATCAATGATCAGATGATTGTGAATAAAAATGCAACAATCATTCAGCAAATGATTAAACATATGACAACAATGTGGATAATACACAAGAAAGGACCATTGACTATTACAGTTAAAGTAAACAACTCATTAAAACTAAATAATATATTTATTTCTGTCCCTCTCTTAGCCTTTTCCACACATGGTTCCTTAGCAGCTGGTCAAATTGCTAACTTGAAATATAGGCTGTGCCTCAATTCAGGGTAGATCCCAGTTATTTCCCACTTTTGGAACACTTCTCTGCTCCCCAGATGTCTCAGTGTTGTAAGCCTTGGATGTGTGAGAAGTACCAGACTCTAGCCTGCGTTATTTCAGATGATTCTGACTGACTGTGATTGTGACTGTTTTCTTTCTGACAGTTACAAAAACTCGTACTGTCTCAAAATGACTGCTGGGATGATTTATACACTAGAGACTGTTATCCCACACGGTGGAAGTTTCAGACTGAGATGCTGGTGCTCTAGTGTGACATTTAAATGCAGTGAATTTACTTTAAACTGCTGTTAAAACTGATACTGTTGTTGACAGAGTTGTATACTTGAGCAACAGCTCATGACGGGCCATGGTATACGTTTATTATAGCAGTTAAGGGGCATTGTTCGGCCTATGTTTACAAATCTGCAGCATATTGTAGTTATTTCGGCATTAGTTTCATTGCTATTAAATCTCAGCAAAATGTTTACTTGCGGTTCATACAGCTGTAGTAATGGCGAGTTGTGCTTATTGTGTGTAAACACTTGGCAGTTGTCCAGCGATAAAACTCCCGTGTGGAAAGCTTTGCAAGGATTAAATTCGCGATAGGTCTGAATTTTGTATATCACGGCCTGAAGTGAGCTATTGCTTTTATAAAACGGTTACCAAGTATGGCAAAAACAGTAGGCTAACAGACGCACTACAATTTGACTTTGTTTTATTTCATCAAAAGACATTTCTTTATGAATACAAAAAGTAGTTCCACCAGTGGTGCATGACGGTAATGTGGTTATACCTGGTTGTTTGTTGATGGAAAGTAGGGAAACATAACTTCTTAGGTGTTGCACTTTCTAGGATTATAAACGAACTCATCGTAAACATACAACAGCAACAAAAGAATCGCTGAATGCAAAACACATTAGTAACCATGTTTAGCTCAGCATTTTTAAGTCCGACTGTTGTTCACAAGATGTTGTGAAAAGATGAACGAGTGTTTGTTTACTTGCCAAAGTTGAAGTAGCCGACTAAGGCTGCAAACAGATTACAGGTTTATTTGTTGCTCGTGTAACATTACACTGTTTGAGAGTCTGGGGCATGTATTGACTTACAGTAGTTTGTAAGCTGATTAAGTTGTAGCGGTGCACATTACATGGTTGTGCTCTGTAAATGAAAAAGATGTTACAGTTACAGAATTCCTTAAAGATATGCAGT